ATACTAGCAAACAGAATTCAGCAAATCATCAAGAAGATTATACACCATGACCAGGTGGGATTCATCCCAGGAATTCAGGGATGGATCAACATACACAAATCTGTAAGTGTAATATTATATATCAACAAAGTCAAAAAGAAATCACATGAACATCTCAATAGATGCAGGAAAAGCTTTTGGCAAAGTCCAATACCCATTCATGATAAAAATCCAACAGAAAATTGGAATAGATGGTCTTTACCTCAATCTGATAAAAGCCATCATAAAAACTGAAAGCTTTGACTCAAAAATGTACAAGACGAGGATTTTCACTATCACCACTCCTATTCAATATCATCTAGAAACACTAGCCAGAGCAATTAGACAAGAGAGGGAAATAAAAAGAATAGGGACTGGAAAGGAAGAAGTGAAATTATCATTATTTGCAGATGACATGATACTCTGCATGGGAGACCCAAAAAGCCCCACCAAGAGACTCCTAGAATTAATAAACAAATTCAGTAGTATAGCAGGATACAAAGTCAACACCCAAAAATCAGTAGCATTCCTCTACACAAACAACAAACTCACTGAGAGAAAAATTAGGGAACCTTTCACAACAGCATCCAAAAAATTAAATACTTAGTAATAAATCTAACCAAAAAAATAAAAGATCTAAACAGTAAAAATTACAATACTCTGAAAAAAGTGATCAAACAGAATTTCAGAAAATAGAAAGATACTCCTTGCTCATGGATAGGAAGAACGAACATTGTAAAAATGCTCATACTCTCAAAATTGTTATACAGCTTCAGTGCAATCCTGGTTAAAAAAAAATACCTTTAGTATACATCACAGGTCTAGAGAAAACATTCCTAAAATTCATTTGGAACCAGAAAAGACTTAGAATAGCAAAGGCAATCCTAGGAAATAGAAAAAAGGCAAGAGGTATCACAATCCCTGATTTGAAATTATACCTCAGAGCTACTATGATAAAATCATCATGGTACTGGCAAAAAAAAAAAAAAAAAACCTGAGGATAAATGGAACAGATTAAAATACACAGACACAACTAAAAACACACTCAGCCACCTGGTCTTTGAGAAAGGGGACAAACACATTCACTGGGAGAAAGACAGACTCTTTTAACAAATAATTCTGGAAAAACTGGCCACATGCCAAAGGCTGAAATTAAATATATGTCTATCGCCATGCATTAAGCTAAACTCAAAATAGATTATAGATCTAAATACTAAAACAGAAACATTAAATCTACTGAAATGGAAAGTAAGTAAATTTCTTGAAGACATAAGGATAGGTAGAGAGTTCATGGAAAAAGAACTCAAATTACATGGGAAATACTTGAAAGAATCAACAACTGGGATCTCATTCTATTGAAATATTTTTGCACATCACAAAAATCACCAACAAAGTGAAAAGAAAACACAAAAATTAGGAAAAAATCTTAGCTGACACTCCTCAGACAAGGGACTTCTATTTAGAACATATAAAGAATTTTGTTTTAAATCAGACCTCTAAAACTCAAAAACGTGGGGCTGGGGAGATAGCTGGGTCATCTAAGCACCTGCCTAGCAAGTGCAAGAACCCAGATTCTATCCCTAGTACCGCATGCTGTCAGCCTAGAACCCCAGGCATGCTGGCCACTGAAACCATGTGTGATGGTGCACACCTATAATCCCAGCACTGGGGAGGCTAAGACAGGAGAAGGACTGTGAGTCTGAGCTGCATACCAAGACCCTGTACCAAATAAATAAATAAATAAATAAATAAATAAATAAATAAATATTTTTTAAGTTAAACAAAATTCAAAAACCCAATCCAAAACTGAACATCTCAGATTAATACACACTTCTCAGATGAAGAAATACAAATGACAAATAAATGTATGAAAAAATGTTCAACAGCATTGGTCACTCAACAAATGCAAATTAAACAACACTGAGATTCTGCCTCACCCCAGAAAGAATGGCTATCATCAGGAAATAAACTGGTAAATGCTGGAAAGACCTAGAGTAAAAGGAACGCTCTCCACTCTTGGTGGGGGTATAGACTGGTACAACCACTGTGGAAATCAGTGCAGAGATACCTCAAAACACTAGGACTGGAGGTCCCATTTGGCTCAGCTGTTACCCTTCTGAGTAGTTTTAGAAGAAGAATTGAAAGCATCCTGCCACAGCCACATATGTGCACCCACATTTATAGCAGCACAATCTGTCCCAGCTAATTTTTGGAAACAACCCAAATGCCCATCAACCGAGGAACTGATTTTAAAAAACATGGCATTTTTATACAATGGAGTATTACTCAGCTTAAAGAAAGATAAACTCAAGGCTTCTATAGGTGAGTGGATGCAACGAGAGGCTATCCTCATAGGTGAGACAAGTCAGACCCACATATGTAAATATCATGTTGCCTCCCTAGTGTAAAAACCTGAAAGAGTAAAGTGTGAAAGGTACAATAGATATGATAGAAGGGAAAGAAACTGCTCAAAAGTAAAAAACACTTGGGATGAGGGAAAGGAGAAAAGACAGAGGAAAAAAGCATGTATGTATATACAAGGATAGCTAGGGTGATTGTACTACTAATTTCTATTAATTTTACATGTTCACATCTGGTAATCTGAGCAACTACCTTGAAGACAGAAGTGTGCAGTGTAGCAAACATTGTTCAATTCCTGTCATCTTGCTTTTTGAAATTCTGTATCATTTCTAATGTTTTATCTACTTTTTTATTCTCCTTAAAATAAAAAAAGTGGGCTGGAGAGATGGCTCAGTGGTCTAAAGCACCTACTTGAAACAAGCTTGGCAAAGCACAGGGACCGCGGTTCGATCCCCAGCACCACATGCCAGCCAGACCCGCCCCCTGGTGGGCTGAGCTGGCCACACACACACACAATAAATAAATGTAATAAATAAAAATAAATAAATATTTAAAAAAAAATAAAATAAAAAAAGTAAAATAAATAAAAAGAAGAATCTTCATGGGTAACCACATGGAGTGCGTGGACTGCAAGCTGTCCGATTAGCTATCTCCTTCCCCAGGATTCTGTCCCTTTGATCCCCACTGCCATATCCAGACCCTTCATATGTGCAGATCCACCTTCAAAGCCAGGTATAGACAAGACGTAAAGCCCTACCCCAAGTTCAAAAGGAACTTGCTGTGTCAAACAACTAAAACCAAAACCAAGATCAGTGAATTAAAATGTGAAAAAAACTAGAGAAGTGTGCTGGGATTAATTTTGATCTACATTTAGCAGTTAACTTCCCCAACACACACCACTCTGCCTCTTCCTACCTCTGTGGACATGCCCAAGCAGAACCAGTGGAACCCACGAGCATTGTCCCTCCCACCGACTTCTCCCATAAACTCTCTGTAGAAGCGATGCCCCATCACAAAGATCCTTCTGAAGAAACCATGGATGTTACCTCAGAGAGAAGAGATTAAGTCATTGATTGCAAAACACACAATGGACATCTAATGTGTCTGAACAACCCTACCCCACTCTCCCTCCAGGCCCCACAAGCATAGAAACAGTCTAGGGACCGAAAGGTGTAGTCCCCATGAACAGCCCTGCCACCACCACCCAGACCTACCATGGTAGGAACCCACAGGAAGCTCTACACATGATCTGCCTCCCAATTCCTTTCATTGGCCAGTTACTTCCTAATCTCAGATGTTCCTACACCAATATTCACCCACAAACACGTGTCTGTAACCCTTCTTTCTTTAGTCTTGTGTTAGGAAGTTCTTTGTGCCCAATTCATTTGTGTGTGTGTGTGTGTGTGTGTGTGTGTGTGTGTGTGTGTGTGTGTTTGGTTTCTTTTCTCTGCTGACAGCTGAGTTCCCATTCTAACTCCAAAAGCAATTCCAAGGCCCAAATTTCAATGCCCAGCAGTTGTCTCCACTGGAAAACAAATAGCACCAGATCCAGTTCTCTCCTCTGCAGGAGGAATTTGTCCAACAGCAGATATCCCCTGGATCTGGGGTAGAAGAGGACATAAAGGTGACCTTTCACAGGTGTGACGTACCTACATGAGGGTCTTCAGAATAAATGCTCTACTTATTTCCAGCTCAGTTAGATAAACTCCTTACAAAGAATTTATTCTTTGACTTTGGGCAAGTTATTTAACCTCTCTTTACTTCACTTCTTTGGTCTGTGACATGGAAGGAAATGATCTGTTCCTCATGGGGGTCACTGTGGAAAACAGAACGAGATGCCAACGTCGCACCTCATCTCAGCCTGGGGCTGAGGAAACCATCAGCACTCAGCTACATTCTGTCCCCGGTGAGGGTATGGAAGAAACAACTCACCAGGACTCAGAAACCTGAAAGCAGTAGCGGAACCCTGGATTTCTTTCCAGCTTTTTATTTCAATGCTCTTCCACTGAGCTATACCTACAACCCTTTGACCCTGACTTTCTGAAGAGCTGCCTCAGGGTTGTAATAAAGATCAAATAATATAATGCACATAGCCAAGCCAGGCGTGGTGCATGTACCTATAATCCCAGCACTCAAGAGGCCCAGGCAGCAGGACTGCCACAGATTCAAGGCCAGACTGGGCTACACAGTGAGTTCAAACCCAGCCTGAATTACATAGCAAGACCCTGTCTCAAAATAATAATGCACATAAAGCACCTGGCATGATGCCTGGCCCAATGCTGAATGACTGATGACAGCTGACGTCACCACTGGGGACTCAGCATTTGCTGGACGTGTTCTGTGCCATGTACAGGGATGAACTCATTTACTCTCCTAGGACCCCATGAGATCTGAGTAAACTCCTGGACCCCGCCCTCTTCCTTGCTCTGACTCCACCCCACCCTCTTTGGCTTTCTTCTTATGAATTCTCACTTCCAAAACTGCCCTCATGTCTGCTGTGTCAGGTGAGAAATGGGAGGTGGAGCCGACTTTACCCAAGCAGGAGAGCCTCAGTCCCTCCTGCCTGTTCCTTCCCCCAGGGACCCAGCAGAAGACACACGGAAAACCAACAACTCCTCCAGAGTTTATTTCTCAATGACGATCAATGGCCAGCAAATGCTGTCCTCTGCAGCACAGGGGGGCCCTCTTGATTGTATACACCCAGAAATACAACCTTGGGCAATAATTTGAGGGGACTCATTCCCAGAAACGTGTTGCTACCGTTTACATTGTGGGAGCAGGGAGACTCAAAGAACTGGACCCAAGAATGTGCGGAGGGATTGCGGGGTTAGGGGGTACACGGTGGCATCAGGAAGAGCCTGAATTCCTTCCTCACTTGGAGCAGAAGCTGTAGGATTCTGCCCTTAGGAAATGTGTCGTCCTGCAAAAGAAGCAGACAGGAGCCGATGACAATAACCCAAATTAACCATCATTCTTCTCTGTGAGTATCCCATGCCAAATCCTTAGTGCAGGGATGTTGAAAATTCTAGGTCGCCAACAACTAATAATCCGCAACTCCCTCCCCACAGTCACTCCCCCGGGGAGAAGAAGAGTTGTAGCATCTCCCTTCCCCCTGTCCAAGTCCCAATTGCAACTGCAGCGTCTTAAATCGCTCCCCTGGATATTCGCAGCAGCACACCCCTACTCTATGCACCATTGGTTGAACCCAACACTGACTCTTCTAACCCTCAGCCCTCACCCCAAAGGCCAGTGGGCAAACAGGGCGACAGAGATGTTACCTTCAGGATAAATGGATCCAGGGAGAGGAGTATAGCCTAGAAGAGGAAACGCTTGATTAGACCAGTGAAATTCCCAGCACCATTCACAGCAAATAGGGGATGAATGGAGAAGCAATCACAACAGTACAGGAGGAAGGACCAGCAACAAAAGCATAGAAGGGCGCGCAGGCGCTCGCTCACCCGAGGAGGTGGCCTTCCGCCAGCTGACCATGCCCAAAGAGAAGACAATGATGCCCAGGCCCAAAGCCACCGCAGACACTGAAACCTTCACTTTCTGCAAGGGAGACAGCCCAGGAGCTGCAAAAAAAAAATTAGAACCAGTCTCTGTGACTCACCGTCAGAGCAACTCAATCCACAGCCACCTGCACTTAAAAGTTCAAAGGTCCTTTCCTGCCTCCCCAGATGTTTGTCTCTAGCTAACTGGTTGCTAAGGAAAAGGCTTTCTTCAAAACCACTCTGGGCAGCGAGCCTCCCCGCCTGGGGCAGCCCGGGGAGCTTACCTGTCCAGTTATCTCCCAGCTTCCACTTTCATTCTAATAAGGGAGTGCAGTAGAAAATGACCCCGCCCACGCCCCCAGGCAGCGTTCTTCAGTTTCTTAGTCACCCAGCCGCTAGTTCCCGTTCCTGCTCGGCTTATCCCTGTCTCTCAGAAACGAGGCTACTGCGATGCACACTGTGTAAACCAAGCCCCACTGACCAGCCACTCTGCCTCTGTATCTTCTGCGTGCGTATCCCATGCAAGCCCGAGGCCACCCGAGTCAGGGCCTGGCATTCGGGGAACAAGCCCTAGTGGTGCCCACCATGGAAACAGCCCCGGCGTCCTTGCGGCGCTCTGCTCGCCTTGGCAGCGGGCGCCCTCGCAGCACGGTTCCCTTCCGCCGTTCTCGGGGCACCCTCACCAGCCTAGGAGCTTCCTCACGCTTGTCTCCTTTGCCTGCTGGTGACTGACAGGGCCTGCTCCCTTACTTCCGCCACCTGAGGAGTTTCCTGTTAACGTGCCCGCTCCCCTCCCCACTTCCACTCGGTGACCTATGCTAATCCGTGCGTCTTCCGCATCCAGACCTCCCTCCGTCCTCTCCGGGTCTGCCTCCAGGCCGCGCCACTTGCTAGCACTGCTCCGGTTCTGACTCGTGCCCACTTGGGTTCTTTTCCCATGATTAGATGAGAACTCTGTCCAAGGAAGACTCCCTGTGCACTCCGTAGGGATCTGCCCAGGAGAACTCAAGGGAGCACAAAGTTACACCGTCTCCCGGTTCCCGAGACTCCTCCAGCTCTTCAGCAAAGAGCAACAAGCTGGCCTCCGCCTCCGGCTCCTTTCCGCCTCCTCATTTCTTCTTCGTTTCCCCCAGCAATGCCCAAATCTGTGGCCAGCTTCTCATTACCTTTCACTATTCCCAATCTTGGGGTTCTACCAGTGGCAGTGAATTCTTCGCCCAGTATCCCCTAAGCAGGCCGACCATGTTGTACTGCCCTATTAAGCTCAATAGAGCAGCCCCCAAAGGAGTGCTGTCCCACACCAAAGCAAAGTTCACTTCATTCGCCACCTTCCTTTAACACCTGTCCTTGAACGGACAATAAACTGAATCTGAGGGCGCTAGGATAGGGAATTTCAGTGTTTGATTCTAAAAATGTCATTGCCAAATTTGCATCCTCTTTTTAGGACAACATCCTCTCCCCCCCCCCCCAACACAGATACAGGAGCGGCAACCACACGGGAAGGGGGGGAGGGGGGGGGGGGGGGGGGGGCCTGGCTCTTCCCATCCCGTTCTCCCCACCTCCACAGGTCAGAAGCCCCAGCACCTCCCCCTCTACCACGTGTCTGCCCAGATCTCCTCCCCTCTGCCAAAGCGCTGGGGCTCCTTTTTCAACCAGCATCTCCCGATAGCTCTCAGCTTAACCCAAACTCCTCCCGTCTGCCACAGCTTACTCCAGTCCTGGTAAATGGGCGCAGAAGCCCCAGCGTGCTCCACTGCACAGGTGTAGACGTCCCCGTAAGAGGGGGTTAAGGCTAAACGAGAAATAGTCTGGTAGGTCCAGTCTCCGTTGGGCTGGGCAGTCCTCTGGACGCTGCTGTGAGGGGTGACAAGTTTCCCATTCTTCATCCAGGTGATGGTCACGTCAGCGGGATAGAAGCCCCACACGTAGCAGGCCAGCATCACCGGCTCCCTGGTGTTAAAAGGCGTGGTCTGGGCTACTTGCACAGATGGCGGTTCTGCGTAGGAGGAAAGCATACGCGGGAATGAGGGTGGCCTTCTGCTTTCTCTCCGACTTCACTCCTTCCCTGTTTCGACTCCTCGGACTCCAACCCACCTGCCACACTCGGCCCCCACACCGGGCCACACGCGACAGGGAGAAGCGCAGCCCCGCCCGCCTCGATGTCTTCTCTCCCACTCCTTCATTCTATTGCTTTTTTGCTCTTTCATCGCAGTTGGCAAGTGCCAGGTCTCACCTGCAAGCTGGCTCGTGCTTACTGAGACTACTCTAAGTACAGTAGCTTGAAAGTGCATAAACAAAAGGCAGTCCAGGACTGCCCAAGGGGGCAGGAGCTCCCAGCTCTTGTTTCATGAATCAGTCCGTTAAACAGAGCCTTTCCTTGGACGGTTTAAGGAAACAAGACTAACCCAGGACTCTCTTAAATTTGGAATCAGGGCAATTCAAATTAACGAGGTTGCTAGTACTGCCATCTTTTATTAATTTGTTCTCTTAGGCAAACTCTCCTCTTGCCTCTACCTTGGTATTTTTCAGACAAAGTCCTAAATAAAAATCCAGTAAGTTATGTTAAAGTCGCTAATCTGCAGACCCATCCATTTTCACCCAGTAGATCTGCTGTGGTACTCAGGAGCTTGCTTTTTGAAAAGCACTTCCTCCTGACCATTCTGAGAGGGGTGTTCAGAAACTACATCTTAAAACACACGACTTTGCCCTCTGGAGATCTTCAAGATTACTTTTACAAACCTCCAGCTATTATCACACAGTGTGTGCCAGAATTCCCTGGGAACCTTTTCAAACATTCTTCTGCGGAGGTTCACTCCAAAATAGGACATCAAAATCTGGGACAAAAGATGGACATCTTGGGAAAGCCACTCCGGTTACTCTGACACAGACTGGTTGACTTGAATCTGCAGCCTGAGGCGCTCCAGCGTCTCTTACTCTGCCCCAGCATCTCCTCCAAGGCTCAGATGTCACCTCCACTTCCTTTCTCATGTTCCACCCACCAATCACCACACTCCCCTAGGTGTCCCGCCCTCCACCAATCACCGCGCTTCCCTAGGTGTCCAGCCCTCCACCGATCAATGCCCTCCCCTAGGTGTCCAGCCCTCCACCAATCACTGCGCTCCCCTAGGTGTCCAGCCCACCCTCTTCCACCATCATAGGCCTGCAGGCCTTCTGCCCCTCTCCCACTCAAGCCTCAAACCCTTGCTGGCCCGCTCCCCGCTGCGCTCCCGTGAGGCCCCTCTGAACCCTCTCTCCTCACTTGTTCTGTGGGTCAATGACCCCCAGAAGGGCTTGGTGTGTGTGACACAGTCTTGGAGTCCATTGCGCAAGCGTTGAAGCAGGCTTGTATCGTTGTTGAGACAATCGGACAGATACATAGCCAACCCGTGCAGTGTCCCAAATTCACACGGGTCCATCCTATCCACCTCTGGGTTCCAGCAGGTCAGCAGATCCTTGTTGTAGGCGACACAGTATGTGAATTCTTTTGGAATCCCATTGTCATCTAACAGACAGGTGCTTTCCACATGGGCCATAAAACCACCTAGAAAGCCGGAGAAGGGAAGGCAGGGCAGTGTCTGCTGCTGGAGCGACGCGAAAGCATCACCTCTGCCCTAGGTTCCTGGCGCAGAGTTCCTAAAACCTTTATAATTTTCTGAGTGATGGAGCACTTGATGCATCTGCCATCAAATAATCTGGTCTTTGAGCCAGTGCCTGGCATAGAGCTCCTATTCCTTGGAATCACCCACATGACAGCAGAGTCCCCTAAGGAGGTGCCTGGTGGGCCTCTGGATGAGGGCTGGTCACCAGAATGATTAAGCTACAATTAAAAGCTTGGAACTTTTATTCCCATTTGGAATGGGAGAGGAGCTGGAGACTGAGTTAATAATCAGTTATACTTATAAACAAAGTTTCCACAAAGATCTCTAAACTATGTGGTTCTGAGACCTTCTCAGTTGGTAAACATATCCATGTGCCGGGGGAACAGTGCACCCCAACTCCATGGGACGGAAGCTCCTGCGCTTGGGTCTTTGCCTTAGCCACCCTTTCACCTGACAGTCCAGATGTAGCCTTGAAATTATTCTTTGTAATAATCCGGTGATAGTAAACAATCTATTTCTTTGGGTTCTCTGAGCCTGTCTAGCAAATCAGTGAGCCCAAAGAAGGGGTCATGGGAGCTTCTGACTTGTAGCCAAGTTGACAGAAGTTGTGAGTGACCCTGGGACCTGCTACTCATGGTCGGCGTCTGACGTGGGCAGACTTGTCGCACTAGGCTGCAGGGTCTGTGCTAACTCTGACTGCTGTCAGAGTCTAGCTGAATTCTAGGGTGTCTGGCTGGAGTAGGAGACCAGGTTGGGGGAGAGGAGTGTAGAGAAGTCTTTGGTCTGAGCACAGGGAAGAAAAACACATTGGTTTTTTGTTTTGGGTTTTTTTTTTTTTTCTTCTATATTCAGGAGGGAATCCAACCTCTGCCACACTCAGGTACTTTGGCAGAGGTTTCCAGCCTCTGGCAGCATCTACTGACCAAGTTTACTCTGCACTGTCTAAGAGACCCAATAGAGGGACCAGAGGGTGGTGACAGAGAAGGTTTCAGGTCCAGATTCCTAGTTATATGAGACAAAGCACTGGGATAGGAGCAACCTAAGATTACTTACATTAAACATGACAACTTATACGCAATCACAGACCTGAAGTGGGAAAATTACTGAGAGGGACAAAAACAGTCCCAGGAAGACTGAGCTGTACTCTGAGATGCAAACACTATTAACTTTTCACTCCCTACATGTTTATGAAACTCTTGCAATCGACCAGGTGCTGGAGTAGGAGCCAGCAAGGCAGCCACAAACAGGCAGAAGGTACCCTTGCCTCACCTCAGCAGGGGGCTGCGCATTTCAGAAAAACCCGCTCAGCTTGTGTCTTACTGAAACGGCTACTAAAGTACAGTGCAACGTGCTACAGGGATATCACAGCAGGCAGACCAACTAGCCTGTTGTCAAACTCAATAATATATTTTACCCCCAAAACAAGAGCAAGGGAACAGAGGGCCCCAGGAGGAAACGCCCTTACCTGCTCCTGTGCAGCCCAGACTGAGGCCCAGCAGCAGCGGCAGGAGTGCAGTCATGCTGTGCTCTGCAGCAGTGCGGGGAGCTCAGGCCCCGGACCGGCTCTGGCGGGGTCCCTCGGCTCCCTCTTGCTCTGGAAGACCCAGTCTGGATGAGCGATCTCCACACACCAAGTGGCTATAGTGCTACGGGCGCCCCTTGGTCCTGGCTAGATGAGAGATTTGGGGCTACCCAGTCCCCAGATACTAAACTTGCTCCAACCAATTCTTCCAAGTTCTGGGTCCCGGAGGAGAGTTGTCACATTAACTAGCTAGGCGGAGACAGATGTAGAGACCAATCAGCTGAGAGACACCAGTAAGCATCATCAGTCACTAGGTGAACTTCATCTTGCCCGCGGCTTAGCCACGGGACTGCTGGACTCTGTCTTTCTTTATTCTTTTTGTGTAAAACAACCAACCTGCAAGTGATGTCCTGAGGTCAGTGGAGGGAACAATTCCAACTTTCCTAGGATATGTGCAGTCTGGGCCGCTCACTGGTTTAGATTTCACTTCTCAGTGCCCTTCCAAAAGGCCAGGACCACACAACCTCTGCTGTCCCCTACAGGAGGCTGCATAAATCCTTCTTCTGTCCTGCCACCCAGCAAGTGTGGGACAGACAGACAGCCCTTCTGGGGGGTGGAGGGTGGCAGAGGCAGGGGTGTTGGGAAGGAAGGAAGGTGGCACGGGAAGGGCAGACTTGCTTGGTCTCAAAGCAAAACTGCACAAGAAGAGAAGCAGTCCGGCTCAGAGAGCCAAAATAGGCCTGAAGGGTCCTTGCGCCTCTTTCCTCCTAGCAGGCCAAGCTTCGTTTCCTCCTCACGTACAGTGGCTGCGCACTGGAGTCGGGAAGCCCTGTCCTCCTACACTCAGCGCCATTGCTGGGGTCGACCCCAGGGCAGCTCCACTGAAGCCCTTGGGTGAGCAGCTGCCCCAGCGCCAGGGCTCACCTGTCTTCCCAAACCCGGAACTCCCCTGAGTGTCCCCTGTACGGTCCCTTCTGTGCCTGGGTGAGTCCCCACATTCGAAGCCACCAGAACAATGAGATGAAGCTTCTCCTACTATTCCCACGGAAAAGGCAGGTTTTAAATGACTAATCATTCCATTGCGCACCACACAATTGATAACTTTTTTATCAATTCATAAATTTTCATCAATTCCATCGTAATATAAAACCCTAAATTGGCTACCCTCTGCTCCCCAGTAGCTCAAGAGGGATCTCTCCTCACCTTAGACTCACATCTCCTTTGACTGCTGGAGCAGAAACACAGACACAAGAGGGAACCCACTCGGCCGCTCTGCGCCGGTGAGGGCCAGGCTCCCGGACTTGATAGCCAGACAAAAGGGGGTTAGGAGGGAGCCTTCGATATCACACTGACTGTCCTCTCCCAAAGCCCCTGACCCCGAGAAAGTCTATTATTTATGAAGAAGAAAAGAAAGGAAACAAAGCATGTGCCCAAAGTGAATTCAGTGGCCAATATCAGGAACGAACAACTTGTTCTGTACAACTGCGACTGACCAAAGCCCTTTCCCCAGCCGCCCCAGCTCTGGCATCCACCTCAGTATAGACTCTAACTCCTGTAAAGAACCACCAGTGTGTAGGAATAGGCAGAATACAGGGTGGGGAGTCAGTTGAGCTTCAACTTCGTAAGATATGACTGCAGGGTGTCCTCTATATGCCATCTCATTTTCATTTTACAGACCTGAAAATAGATCTTTTGTAAATGACACTGGTTCCAGGAGATGGAGGGAGGGGACCAGAAGAGAGGTGAAGAAGAACTGAGATGTGTGCTGCACGTGTACTGACTCCCCCAAGGCATGTGATCATTATATACTACAAACACATGCTAATAAAATCTAAAAAGTGAAGAAAAATAATAAATAGGATAGAAATAAACAAGAAAATATATCCAGATTCACACCCAAGGTCTACAGTCTTTAATTTCTTTGCTTCAACAGTTCTTGAACTCACACCCCCACACACCCACACTCACTAACGCTACTGAGATGGCACAGATAACAGAAGTTGGCGAGGCCTCTGTTGAGAAAAGGAGGAAGAGCAGCACCCAATCCACACAAGACTCATCCTTCCTGTGCTGAGTTCCTTCTCCTCAGAACCACTGTCTCTTCCACTTGTTTCCACAGTTTCAAAACTACGTGGGTACCGCACCCTGCACCCTCATAGTCCTCCCCATCCAGCCCTGTCGGTGGCAAGCCCAACCTGGCAGGACTGGGGTTTGGCATCCTCTTCAGTGTCCACCCAGCCCTGCCACAGGACCGCTGGCCATGTGGTCCTGTGTTGCCCCAGGCCTGGTCCTCACCAGCACAGTGAGGCCGAGTGGAGTTCCCTCTCGTGTCTGTGTTTCTGCTCCAGCAGTCAAAGGAGATGTGAAACCTCCTTGAGGCAGCAGCAGGAAATGGTGGGAGAGGATTTCACTTCTCCATTCATGTGAACACCCGGGGAGATTTTAGAATAAGGCAGGACAGAAAATTCAGTGACCCGCACTCAGCAAAGCAGTTTCTGCTTTATTTCCTCCTCCTGGCCACTATTTTTAAAGACGTTGTTCTGTCTTCCCATTTCCAGACAGCTCCAAAGACTGTTTTCACTGCTCTGCCCCGCATTGCTTCTCTGGGCCATGTTGCAAAGCACTGGAGCTAAAGAAGCTCCAGAGCCCCAGCCAGGTTCCCACTGCTGTCCTCCCCTTGTGCCGCCAAGCAGAACCCACAGAGCGAGTCCTCCGCTCTCCCTCCAGCTCTCCCCGAGCCTGGCCAGGACATGACTGCAGTGGACTAGCTCAGGGGTCATGTGCGCAGAGGACGGGGAAGCCCAGGTGGGAGAGGCGGGCTCCGCTGCCCATCACTTTGCTTGATGCATTTGAGGAGCAGGAACAAATACATGCATAAGGAGAGTTGACATTAAAGTAAACCAACAAGAAAGCCAGTGGACTTAAAAGGGGAATGACCAGTCGCTGTGGGCGTGGTGGGCAGGCAAGTCCTCTTGGGGAAGGAGGTTTGAACACCAGGCTGTGCTCATGTGGGAGAAGAGGAAGGCAGCTGGCATCGCTGGAGCTGTGTGTCAAAGGAAGTCGCCTGTCTTTCTGTTCTTTCGTAAGAGTGTAGCCACAGCGATAGACACTTCCAGGCATTTCCTAAAACTGCTTCGTGTAGGCTCTCGGGTTTCTCCTCTAGACAGATGGTTGTAACTCAAGTCTCCCTCTTATAAACAGAATAAGAACCGTTCAGCCGGTCAGTTGTTTGCAGTCTAAACAAATAGCATGAGACCACAGGGTTCCGAGAGCCAAAATTAAAAAATTCTATTCAAGGAAGGAATTGTATGCAAATTTAACTGATGAAACGCAAACTGAAAGAAGCATGTGTAGTGTCTACACTGGCCTGAGACTGCTATAGAGAATACGTAGTCTCCTGAATTCATAAGAAAAAGGGGTAAATGCAATTTTTAAGTACACAAAAGATATGAACCATCAAGTCATCAAGAGAAATACCTATGAAAAGATGTTCAGCTTCACTAGTAATGCAAAAAAGGCAAATTAAACCAATAAGCCTAACATGGTGACCTATAACCCCAGCATTCTAGATGCTGAGGCAGGAGGGTCACCATGAGTTCAAAGCCAGCCTGAATCACATAGTGATAGCCAGCCAGAGAGAGACAGAGAGAGAGAGAGAGACAGAGAGAGATCCCACTCAACACCCACTATACTGCCAACAATGGAAATTCAAATAGTTTCAAGAGTTAGTCAAGACAAAGGAAAATGAAAATTATCTTGTCCGGTTGCTGGGAGCATAACCTGCTTCTGATCCCTGAATTATAGAAAGTACAAATGTATTGGGTAAAAGAATTTAGCATCAGGAAACAGGATAGCATATCCTTGAGAGTAAAGACTGGGTTGAGTGCTCTAAGCCTTGGGAGAGTTTAATAAAGATGAGTTAGAATTAAAGATCAAACACATGTCCATGGACGCAAGTCAACAGGAGGAGGGTGCAGAGCTGGTTAAAGTAGGGATGAGCTGAGCAGATTGGAGATTCCACTCCTGTTCCTGGATGGACAGAGCCAAGAGAGGCAAAGTGACTATGCTATGAAAACTGGTACGTAGATTGAATGTAATCCAATCAAAATAGCACCACTCCTCACAGATTTAGAAAAAAGTAATCCCAGGATTCATACAGAGCCAGAAGAGACTCAGAAGAATAAAAGAAATCCTAGGTAACAAGAAAAAAAGCAGGAAACATCACAACCTTAGATTTTAAATAATATTGTAAAGCTACAGTGATAAAAACAGCATGGCACTGGCACAAAGAAACGGACATATGAATCAATGAAATAAGACAAAGTTTGCAGAATCAATTCTAGGCACATTTAGCTATGTATTTTTTTAAAAAATAATTTTATTTATTTGTGTATTTAATTTGATTTTTTTTTTTTTTTTTTTTGGCAGAACCGGGGATTGAACTCAGGCCCTTGTGCTTGCCAGAGAAGCGCTTATTCCACTGAGCCATCTCCCCAGCTGTGTATTTATTTTGGTACAAGTTCTTGTTATGCAGCTCAGACTCATAGTGATCCTCCTATCTCAGCCTCCCCAGCCCTCGGATTACAGGGGTGTGTCACTATGCCTGGTTTTGGTGGTCTTTACAGTGCAAGATACCCAGGATTGAACCCGGATCCTTGCGCTCGCTTGTCAGGCAGGCACTTAGACTGCTGAGCTGTCTCCCCAGCCCCAGCCATGTGATTTTCGACAAAGGAACTGAAAACATATGCTGGAAGAAAGATGGTCTCTGTAACAGATGGTGCTGGGGAGCCATTTGTCAGATTGCTATCTGCATGCAGAAAACTGAGTCTAGACATGGATCTCTCACCTGCGCTAAAATAACGCCAAATTGGATCAAAGATCTAAATATTAAAATGGAAATACTGAATCAGCTAGACAATAAGTAAAACTGTTGAAGACACAAGCACAGGCAAGGACTTTCTAACCAGAACCCCAGTGACACAAGAAATTCTAAGAATCAACAAATGGCATCAGATCACATCAAAAAGCTTTTGTAGAGGCCGGCCAGGTAGCTCAGCTGATTAAAGGGCCTGCTTAGGCAGACACAGGGACCTGGGTTCAGTCCCTGTGTGCTGTGCTGGCCCGCCCCCAGGGCACACTGAGACAGTGATTGAGACTGGGTGTGGCAACACACTCCTGCAATCCCAGCCCTTGAGAGGCTGAAAAAAGGAGGCTCACTATGAGTCCGACCTGTGTAGTGAGGCCCTGGAGACCCTGTACTAAATACAAATAAACAAATAAAAAGCTTTTTCACTACAACCAACCAACAGAATGAAGAGACTACCTACAGGGTAGGAAAAGTATTTTTTTAGTTATTCCTTAAACAGAGGAATATCTAGATAGATAGATAGTCCTCTGTTTAAGGAGTTTTATATATATATATATATATATATATTCCTCTGTTTAAGGAATAATATATATATATATATATATATATATAGAGAGAGAGAGAGAGAGAGAGAGAGAGAGAGAGAGACCCCTCTCAAATAAAAGACCCAATGAGAAAATTGGCAACTAACATGAATAGACACTCTTAGAGTACAAATGGGCAGACTGAAGTCCACAGCAGCCCTGGAGGCCAAGGCAGGTAGAACTGACAGCAGAGGAGATGGTGGAGCTGGGTAGGGAGGAGCTGGGACCCAGTACTCAGTGCTTATTGAGCTGCGCTTGGCAGTGGGTGAGGTGTGGGCTGCCTCTCTGGACCCTGCAATCTAGGCAGAGGGGTGAGCATGGGAGAGAGTACAAATGGTCAATGAATACATGAAGGAATGTTCAACACTGCTACCACAGAGAAACGCAAATTGAAACAAGACTGAAATTACGTCTCACTCCAGAAAGAATGGTCATCACTAAGAAATCAAATAATAACACATGCTAGCAAGGTTGTGGGGGGAAAATCCTTCCTACATTGTTGGTGGAAGTGTAAACTAGTACAGCCACTGTGGAAATCACACTGCAATTCCTCAAAAAGCTGAAAGTAGAAATTACACTTGACCCAGCTTCTAGGCTTGTTCTTGAAAGAGTTCAATACTAAACCTTTGAAGCAGCCTACACGTCCATCAGCAAATGATACAGAAAATATAGTGCTTATACACAATAGGATATTACTCTGCAATAAAAAGGATAAAAGTCAGTCATTTTTAGGAAAATGGGTGCACCCCGAGACAGTGTCAAGAGAAATAAATCCGAAGGTACCAGTTGTGTACATGTGCCAACTCCCCTTGATGCATGTAATCACTATGTCCTGTAAACACGTACTAGCAAAAGGGAAGAAAAGAAAGCACTATAGTGCGAGGAAAGAGCTTGAACAAATACCCTAAAGTGGAGACCAGATCCTGTCAGGAAAGAGTAAAGAGAAGAGACTCATTCATGCGCCCTGGGGCTGGGATGGAGCCCAGTGTAGAGCATTTGGGTAGAGCGCAGGAGGCCCCTGACCAGAATTTCTGTTGGGAATAGTAGGTGAGGCAGACCAAGCTACAGAGGTCTTGAGTGCTTCTAGAATATTTAAGTGGCAATATCTCAGAACGCTGTAGGAGCGAGCACCTAACTTAAGCCTATCATTGAACAGAAGAAGAACTGGGGACCCAAAGAGGGGAAGGGGCTTGCCTCAGGTCGCACAGGACAACGAAAGCAGTTTCAAGCATTGGCCGGCACGAACTTTTGGGATGAGCTGGAAAATGCAACAGAAATTAGGAAGAACTCAAGAGCAGTAAGGACCAGAACCAAAATTGTAAAGCCAACATAAGGAGAAAAACATCTCAAAGGGAGAAAAATGCAGCGCTGAAGGTGGATTCCATATGTGTCAGAGAAGAGAAAGAGGTCAATGATCCCACGAAGGTCTGTGGAATTCTGCACAAATAGTCTAGATTTGCTAAGTTACTATTTATCTTTTCAACATGCCAAACACGACTCTAGGCAGTCCACAGCTATTGACTTATTTAAGATTCGCCAGTCCTGTGGGATGACGCACCGCTGTCATTATCGTCCTTTTACAGAAAATGACACCAAGGCAGAGAGCACGAAGCAGCTTCCCTTTGGGCACGCAGCTAACCTCGGCGACAGGCAATTGGATGCAATTCCTGCGGGGGTCTGCTTCCAGAGCTTGTTCTGCTGAGCCAGTCACGTGCTCCTCTCGGAAAAGAAATGGCTCAGACGAGGTTCCATCCCTGGGAAGAACTGGGTATCTTCCCTTAGATGCGACTCTAGCACACTATGAAAAAAGACTCCCTTATCAACACCAGCATAACTTCGCTCTTAACCTGAATGCTACCCCGTCCTCCGCGAGCAAGCGATAAAGCATGGGCAAATTTACGAGCAGCGCCCTGTGCCACTTGCTGCCACTAACCACAGGGACGGCACGGGCACCGTGGGATCCCGGGTGGGTCACTTAGGGCCAAGAGCACATCGTCCTTCCGGGTTGTTCCCTCCTGGCTTCCGGATGGCAAAGGCGATCCTCCCAGGCCAAGTCAGAAGAGCGCGTTGGGGTGTGTCCTCCCCACCCTGGGCTCCCGCCTTCAGTTATGGAGGGGAGTTACATTTTTCTCAAGTAGCCTATACTAGATAGAAACATTTGCACAAACAAGTGTAGTACGGCAGGACGCACACTCCCACAAGCAGCTCCTTCAACTATCAGAAAGTAGCTCTGCTTGCACTTCTCCTGTGTGCCGGAGCCATGGGAGTAGAAGCTGAAGCTGTGTGCGGAGACCAGGGAAGCGGAGCTCGGCTGAGGAGCCAGGGTTTCCCCGGACGCGCTCCCTGCGAGGGCAGGCTGTTCTCAGGTTAAGGCACGCTGCATTTGCAATGACTGCGCACTGGAGTGTGGGGATCCAGAAGCCGAAGACCAGAGTTCAGGAGGAGGAAGCAGCTCGGGTGGGTGTGGCCGCGGCACAGCGCCACCTAGCGCCTGCGAGGCCCTGCTGCGACTCCCAGCCCTGCACAGCGGAAAAACAAAAAACCAAGGAGTGAAGCAACGCTGAGGTTAAGAACCTAGGACTGGGTTTTATTGCCTCAAAGTAGGAAGGGAGGCGGCTGTGATGGGCTCCTCAGGATGCAAAACCAAGGCTCCTCGTGGCCCCGCCTGAGACACCGACTCCGCATCCCTCGGGCAATGTCGGGAACTTTTCCTGTTCTGAGGAAATATCCTGCACAGGACTTGAGCATCTGCGCTTCCTCTGCTGGGACACGCTGTTGGCATCAAACTCCAGTCGGGAAGAATCAGTCTAAGGAGAGAGTAGACGGAGGAAAGTCACGGGGGCCCTCCTCCTCACGGCCCCTCTGCCAGGGCCTCCCTGCTGAGGTCCAGCCCTCTTCGCTCCACTACCCCGCAGCTTTCTCCCAGGCCCCGCAGCACTCCTCTCCCGCTGAAAACCCTTCCTCAGCCCCTCGCCCTGCCTGCAGGGGGGTACCCGGCTCAGTGGATGTGGCGACTGTTGCTGAATACAGGCCCACACCCAGAGGTCCATGGAGCAGAAGCCTGGCGCACTGGACTCACGCCCCTCCAGAGGACATACCACCCGAGCAAGGCCTCTGGAAGTAGACGATGAGGACAGTGCCCACGATGATGCCCAGTACACCCAGGCCAAAGGCCACACTGCACAGCACGTTCTCCAGGAGATCAGAGGGCAGAGCGTTGTGGGGCACTACAGAAAAGTGGGGGGAGCAGGTCAGCGAGATCCGGCTGAGGGGCTCTCTGCCCAGGGAATGACTTGGGTCTCTGGGATGGCAACGGAGAAACTCAGGCCTGGAAGGCCGAGGTTGGCTAGAGGGAGGATGGACCAAGCAAGATCCAAGCAGGGAAAGAGGGGCCCTCCCACGGGTCGATATCTTTTTCCCCTCCAAGGACCAGGCTTCAGGGGACAGGGCCTCACCCCAATAGGCAACTGCAGTGTAGCCGTCAATTCCATGAGTGGCCAGGCAGGTGAAGAGGTCAGAGGGTTCTGGTGTGAAGTTTAAATAAGAAAAGGCTTGGAAGTTGAGTCCACCGACTGCTGAGACAAAAGTGGGTCCAGCTCCTTCCACTGGGTCATAATTGTGCTGCCAGTCCACCGTCAGCATGGGGGGAAAGAGGTTACTGATGAAGCAGACCAGTGTGTTCGGCTTCCCAAACTCCAGGGGCTTCAGTGTGAACACCTCAGGGACAGGGAAGCCTGGAAGGGAGTACAGGTGCCCGACAAAGAAAGGACAAGGTCAGATGGTGCCTTTGGATTTGGAGAGAGTGAGGCACAGGAGTGACAGCAGGGGAGGAGTCAGGGGATGGAGCTCTAGGACACATGTCACCAGTATCCCTGCCCTGGACACAGGTGCTCACAGGGACACAAAGAGTCCCTGTTACAGTCATGGAGTCCAACAAATGATTTTAAAAGTGCACTCCATGCCAGGCGCTATCTCCTGCCCACAAGAAGATGCAAGGTTCAGACTGTGGCAGATGGAAAAAGAAAAGTCCTTGGGAAGAAGGAGGTCTAAGAATTGGATAGGAGGTGGTGTGAAAGGGACACACGAGATGTTTAGACTGAGGAAGGCAAGAGGACCCAACCTCCGTCCTCCCCCACACTCTAACCTCTGGACATTGGGATTTTCCCATTGAAATACGGGTCCAGGTCCTGGACCATATCCCTGCAGAATTTTCTGTCAAATGCAATGGCAGCCGCATCGCTCTGGTCCTTGGCCCAGTCAGCAAATTCAGGCAAGCGAGGCACCCGGGTGTCCTTGGAGAAATCGAAGGAGAAAACCTGGTCCTCGTCATAGCTTTCAGAGAGCCCGATGTTGGGAAAGCCTTCTTGGCAGAACACTGTGCGCCGGAACGTGTGGTTTTGCAGCTCCTCCTGCCACACTGGGATGAGAGCTGCAGAAAGGTGGGGTGGGCTTTGGGGGGCTGGAGCTGTACCCTTGTCTTTATGCTAGACAGTGGCAAGGCCTGCTCCGGGGCACAGCAGAGTGTGGTGGGGCCCTCGGTCTAATGCTTAGGCTTCACTCCCTGCAGGAGTGAAGAAATGAAGGAAGCATGCTGAGCCTCCTGTGCCCATGGAGAGGTGAACCATTCAAAGTTGCAAAAATTAAAAGAGGTCTACTGTCTCAGGTGACAGGTTCAGTCACTCTGCTGGTTGTGTTTGGCCATGGTGCAAAGGCACAGCCAAAGAGGCAGGTGGAGGCCAAAATCCAGCTTGCACCCCACTCACCACACCATGCGCCCAGCCCCGGGCCACATCCCCACAGGGAGGTCCTGTCTCACTTGCCAAGGCTAAACTCTGGACTCTCAGAAGCCATGGATGGGTCCCGTCTTTCACAGTGTGAAGGAATGATGGTGGCCTCCCTGAGCCACAGTGACCCGGCCCTTCCTTACACTAGACACATGGGCAACCAACACCAGACTTCCCTCAGCTACTTCCTTGGCACTGACCTCTCTGAATATCTCTTCCACCACCCAACCCCTTCAGACGGCACTATGGGGAAGTGGCCCCAGCTGCAGGAAACAATCCTTCTTGGAAACTGTTGGGAGGAATCCCCCACCATCAGGAAAACTTCTACCCACCCTCTGGAATGACAGCTACTTAGACTGAGAAGGCTCTTCCAGGCTCCCGTCCCATTCTGCCCCTTCTGCTACAGAGAAGCTACAGGCACTCAGCTGCCTTTTCCAGCATTGCTCAGTGGGTGTGACAACAGAGAGCATGGAGTGTTGGGCTGGAGGGATGGGAGCAACTGCTTTGTTCAAATCCCAGCCCCTACCACTCTGCAACAGTGTGCGCTTGAGGGCCAGGGAGACAGCTCACTGGCTTAAGTGCCTGCTTGTACAAGCCCCTTAAATTTGCAGAATCTCGTATTCTTTGTGCATGAAAAATGGATAGAATGATCTCTGCTTGAAGTTGTCTGAAGTGGAACATGAAAGAAGCCTGGCACTGCTTACCGTTGCTCTTTCCCAGCCCCCTGCTGTCTTCACCTCCTCATCTTTCCGAGCTCTTAGAAAGCACAGGGGTGCTGGATGGGAATCCCTGGGCTCTAGGGCAGGTGGGATGGATGAGGCAGGGAGCCAGGAGCCTGGAGCAGGCAGTCTTACCTGCGGGAACAGCCCAGGAGTGGGGCAGCAGCCACAGAAGCTGTAACAGCGGCGGCAGCAGCAGCACAGCACCTCGGCTCAGCTTCTGATCCATGCCTTCACACCACACTGTAGGCAGATGACACCAACCCTGTAGACCCAGGTCCCCAACTCCTTCCCCCAGTGGTAGCCTTAGGCGGATCTTGTTTGGCCAGCGCCTTTCCAGCAGCACCCTTGCCATTTCAGCTAAACCAATCACAGACGAGTACGGTTCAACATCATCAATTACCAGGGAGAGACTAGGGGCCAGCAGCCTCCTGCACACTTGGCTGACCAGCTCAGTGTGTGCCCGCGGGGAGCGGCTGCCTCCTGGTGGAGCTCCCTCTGTAGCCTGGGCTGTCCAGCAGCGCCGCCCAGTGGAAGACGGGGCAGTGCATCCTCTGTGAGCACACCCACTCCCCACCCAGGACTCTTGGGACCCCCTCCTCTTTCTCGGGAAGGTTATTTTCTTGACATTAGCTCTAACTCGCCCTGCAGAAATATACTGAAAATGTAGTAAGTGCTGAGTTTTCAGCCCCATGTTAGAAATACAAAAAAGAATAAAACAGCCCCTGCCCCCGTTACGAGATTGTACACTGTGGTTTCAACTTTCTAGCTACCTAGAAAGTTCCAGAAGTAAAGAGTTTTAAATTGTATTCCATTCTAAGTAGCATGATGAAATCTTGGGCCATCTCTGTTAATCACCTCTTTGCTTGGTGTGTCTGAGCTTGTCCCCACCTGCCTCTTAGCCACTGAGTAGCATCTCTTTCAGCAGACTGTCACTGTACTTCGGTGTGTGTTCCAGTGACCTTTATTTTAATAATGGTCCCAAAGTGCCAGAGCAGTGATGATGGCAATGCAGATATGCCAAAGGGCAAGAAATGTGAAAGCCCTAACGTGGTTCCTCTAGGTGAATAGGCAAAAGTTCTTGGCTTAGTAAGGAAGGGGAGGGAAAACACTGGGTGAGTACAGGGCAATAAAACATACAGCCTGGGAGGGGGTCGTTCACATCATTTTTGTTACAGTATACTGTTGTAATTTTATTATTGTTGTTAATCTCGTGTGCCAAGTAAGTGTGTTTATTGCAGTACCTAGAGGGTCTGGAGCTATCCATGTTTTCAGGCACTCACTGAGAGACCTGGGCTTTCCCCCAAGAATAAGGGGCGAATCTCAGTTCACCAGAATACCAGATTCGTTTATGGTGGGTTTACAGGCCCCCTGCAGTCAGGTGTGGAAGACAGTGAAAGGGCTGTCTGTGCTAGAGAGCCAAATAATCCAGTCAAAGGTGGAAGACCTGGGCGGGGCTCACTGCTGAGTCTGTATGAGGAAACCAAAGGGTTTGTGTTGGAAGATTGGAGAATCTGAGTGGGAACGTGGAAGAGTTTGTGCTGGAAGCCTGGGAACACATCCAAAGGTGATGAGGAAGCCTGAGTATTCCAAAAAGCACAATCAAGACTTCCTTCTTTCCCTTTTTATTCCATCCGGACTACAAGCCTATTGGTTGGTGCCACCCACACCCAGGCGGGGCCTCCCTCTTCAGTAAGTCCATCAATCACAGAACCATAAGCCCATCAGCTGGACATTTCTTATTCAAGTGGTCACCACAGTTAACTACCACCGCTGCCAGGCATATTCCTGCCTTCAAAGAGTTTACATTCTAGTTGGGAAGGGGTCAATGGATAATTACACAGCAACGTATGCCAGCATGTTCCACGCCTGCCAGGGGGCAAAAGACTTCTCTCTCTCATGTCCTTCCACTGTGATATTTCTTTCTTTTTTCTTCTTCTTCTTTTTTTTTTTTTGGGGGGGGGGCAGAAACTGGTATTGAGGGGCTGGCGAGATGGCTCAGTGGTCTAAAGCACCTACTTATAACAAGCTTAGCAAAGCACAGGGACCGTGGTTCAATCCCCCAGCATCACATCCCAGCCAGCCCTCCCCCTGGTGGGCTGAGCTGGACACACACACACACACACACACACACACACACACACACACACAAAACCAAAAAAAAACTGGTATTGAACTCAGGCCCTTGCGCTTGCCAGGGAAGTGCTTATTCTACTGAGCCATCTCTCTGGCCCCCCACTGTGATATTTCTACCTTGGAACCACCTGGCCATGGCCAAAAACCATGAGTTAAAATAAACTTTTCTTCCTCTAAGTTTCCTTACTCAACTATTTAGTTACAGTGGTGAAAAGCTGACCAATACAGAAAATAATATAGTCAATTTATGTGACTCAGAAAGTAATTATATGGGGACAGCAAGATAGCTCAACAGACTAAAGGAACTGCTTAGCCAAGTGCAAGGACTGAGGTTCAATCCCTGGCATCACATGCTGCACCAGCCCCACGCCTGGTGAGGCTGAGAAGGCCAGAGTCTGGGCGTAGTGGCAGAGGCCTGCAATCCCTGCACTGGGGAGGCTGAAAGCAGGATCACCATGAGTCTGAGCTGCATAGTGAGACCTTGTAACAACCAAATACATTAAAATAAATAAATAGTAAAATAATTATATGAATTACTGACATCAGTAGAAGTATGACTGTAGGGTAGATTCCTTTGGCTTCAAGTCCATGCCCATCACTTTCTACTGGATAACTTTTTTCTCTCTCATATGCAATATGAGGATAATGGTAGCAATTCTTCATTCATCTATTAATTCTTCCAATACGTATTTACTGATTATGTACTATAGGTTTATCATTCTTTAAAACAATAAATCTTGAAAGTTTCAAAAGAATATATTTTGACTTTCAAATACATGAGTAATCACACCAGACACACACCAGAAAAAGGGGAATACAGACAGCCTATCATCCGTTATCACACATGTTGTGCAGTAAACACAGCCAGAATGGGGATGGAAGGCAAAACTAGACTAGAAAGAACTGAGAAATTCACACTGAGAAAATTGCAGTGGAGTAAAAATATAAAGGACACAATCAGAGCATGAGGGGACCTGGTACTAGAGCACATGGGCCGTTGGGGGGCCGTGAAATGCAGGGCACAAGGGCTAGGGAGATGGCTCAGTAGAATAAACGCTTGCCTGGCAAGCACAAGGGCCTAAGTTCAATCCCTGGTTCCTCAAAAAAGAAAAAAAAAAAAAGAGAGAGAGAGAGAAGAAAAGAAATGCAGAGCACAGGAGCCTAACTTGCTCGAGTCGAATCAGAAAACCCAGCATAATGAAGGCATGAGAGAGGTGGATAGTAATAGCGGGCAGAACTGTGGCCAACAGAGGTCAACTGAATCACCTAGAGTCAGAGAGAGACTGAAGCACTCAGGATGAGTGAGGCCAGAAGCCCTGCGAGGCCCTGAGCCAGCAGCAGCTAGACTTGAGGGAGCCAGAGGAAGACGCATGATGGCTGCCGTTCTGAGGAGAAAGGTCTCATTTTCCAGGAAGCAGGAGTTCTAACAAAGAGTCAACAAGCAGAGAGGTCACTTAGAATCCACTACAATAACCTCAGCTGGAAGACTGGGGGAATGATTTAGTGGTAGTACCAACGAAGACTTTCAAAAGATATTGCAGAAGAAGATAGCAGGTTTTCCTCAAGAACTAGGGATAATGTGAGGAAAAAACTTCAAAATCCTACTTGAATAGCACTGCTTCTTTTGTTTATGAGTATGTGTATGGCAGGGTAGGGGGGATGATATAAAACATTACTTTCTCCTAGAACCTTAGATTATCAAATCTTTTCATCACTGACTACTTGTTAAAAATTACCGTGGTACCTTTACTCATTCCATGGTATCTCAGCTTCTCAAAAATCTTTGTAATGCCTCAAAACCCATATAAATAAAAAAATACAAATATTAGAGGGAAAAAAAAGAACATGCCAACTATTTAGAAGTGGTAAATTTTTAAGAAAGGGGGACTAGATAGGACATAACCAGGGAGGCTCCTAAGAAACTTTGTCTATTTGTTTTGAGGGTCTTCCCATGCAGTGCCTTGAAATATGTAGCCAGCTATTCTCAAACTCACAGCTATCCTCCTGCCTCAACTCCTGTCCTCCTGAGTGCTGGGATTACAGGTGCACACACACGCCTTATGGACCCTAAGAACCTTAAACGAAAAACAATTTGACCAGTGGAACATGAGAGAAGAGCGACATATTCCAGGGCAGAAGGTAGACAGATGCATGATCAAAGGCTACAGAGTTCTTTCCTTTGGAGACTCCAGTGATGGTTGACATGAAAGCTGTGAAGGCTGCGCGCATGTTCTGGTGAGGTACTGAGGACTGGAGGAAAGGGAATTACAATGTTGAGCTAGAAATTTAGGCAAGAGCCAGGTGACATAGGGCTAGATACACCATGAAGAGGGCCTCTCACTATTTAGATATGAAGACATTAAAACTGAGGAGTGACCCAACCATGTAAGCACATTAGAGAAATTGGTCTAGTATTTTAAACAATAGATGATAGCTTGGGAAAAATTGAGGCCAAACTACTAGTCCAAGTGGAAAGAAAGGAAGGGAAGGGGAAGGAGAAGGAGAAGGGGAGGGGGAGGGGAGAAAGGAGGGGAAGGGAAAAGGGAGGAGAAGGGGAGGGAAGGAAAAGAAAAAAAATATTTAAAAGTATAGCATGTTATACCTAGCATTCTAGGAGGCTAAGGCATGATTGCAAATTTACGATTTACCTGGGGAATATAGCAAGACCTTGTTTCAAAATTTAATTTAAAAAAACAAAACATTTTTTTTAAAGATCTATTTATTTGGCACAGGGTCTTGCTATGCAGCTCAAACTCACAGTGATCCTCCTGCCTCACCCTCCCCAGCACTGGGATTATAGGTGTGCACCACCTGTAACGTGGTGGATCTTTCTTGCTTCATTTCAGTGGTTGGCATGGTGCAGGGCTGGCATGGTATGTGATACTGGGGACCGAACCTGGTTTCTTGCGCTTGCCAGGCAGGTGCTTAGACTGCTGAGCTATCTCCCTAGTCCAAAATTTAATTTTTTTTAAAAAAAAGAGCTGGGGTTGTAGCTAAATGTGAAGGCTATATGTTCAAGGCCCAGTATTCCCTCCAAAAAAGTTAAAGCTGAGAAGGTGAACTACATCATGATCAGAGGGGACAGAGGGATCTTTTGGGATAATTAGGAAGCAGAATATGAAGGGTTTGGTTAGTGATCCCACATGGAAAGGCAGGCACAGAGATGA